CTAGCTGAATGCTGCTGCTCCCGACGCGCGCGGCGGGTATGTCCGGAGCTCCCCCGATTCACGCTCCTCCTCTCCGTGCCGGTCCTCATCGGACACGGAGCCTTCGCGACCAGGGCCCAAACCAGCCCTAGGTCGCGGGGTCGCGGGGGGCATCGCACTACGGAGCGCAGCCCAAGGTGTGACCTGAAAGTTGACATCGCCTTCGGGCCGCCTGACTTGGTCAACCCATCGGCGCGCTGGTCAGCGGTGCCTACCTGAGTAATCTTCAGCAAACCTCTCTGCACGCGCGAGCGCACCGCGTGCACTTTTGTTGTCAGGGACCTGATCCTCCACGACCCCTGCCCTGACGACACCAAGTTCGCAGCCGCGTTGTCGCCGAGCATCTCCGGCGACACTGGGAATCCCAGCGACTCCAAGGTAGCCCTCGTAGCTCCCAGCATCCTCTCCCCGACCGCAATTGCTTCGACTTCCGCCTCGGCGGTGCTGAATGGCCCCACCGCCTGGCGGGTGCTCCTCCAATCCACGACTTGGCCAAACATGGTGGTCACCACCCCGCTCTGGGCGCCGGCCTCCTCCATCGAAGCATCGGTGCAGACCTTGAGCGCAATCTCGTCGGTCTCCTCGGTGTCACCCGCGCTGCCCGCCGCGTAAAACAGACCGAAGCCACGGGTGCCAGCCAGGCATCGAAGGACCCGCTTGCCTATCATGAGGGCCTCGGCGGGGCGCCTGGTGGACAACGCAGCGGCCCTACTGACAGCGAAAGAAATGTCTGGCCGAGTTCGCGATGCCAGCCACAGGAGGCCTCCAGTCTTCCTCTGGGCTAGCCGGACTTGGCCCGTCTCTGGGGGGTCGTCCGCGTCGCCCTCGAAGTTCTCGAAAGACTCGCGCTCGAGGTTGAGGCCTCCGGTCGGCGTGCATGCGCCGAGGCCCCATTTCTGGAGCATGTCCTCGGTGCACTCGCACTGTGACAGAGAAATCCCCTCGCGGCCAACGTTGATGTCGACGCTGAGGTACTTGAGCACGCCAGGCTCCGACGGCCCAAAAACTCCCTGGAGCTTCGTGGCCCAAACTTCCGACACTGCAGCATTGAGGGCCTCAGCCAAGCCCTTCGGGCACATTGGAATGAAGTCGTCCACGTACACGAGGAGGAGGCCTAACGTCTCGTCGGTCTCCTGGTCGCGAGCCGCCCAAACAGCTGGGTCGGCAGACGACTGCTGCAGCCGGCATCGGCGGCCATCGAGCTCAACCGTCATCTTCAGGAGCTCGTGGTCCCGCTTCTCAGCCCATGCTCGGGGCGATGCCTGGAGCCCATAGATCGCTTCCTGGGCTCGCCGCACCTCCCCGGGAGGCACCAGGCCGAACTTCACGAAAGCTGCCGGCGGCCTCACGAAGATCTCCCTGTGGTCGACGGGGAGGTCGGCGTTGAGGAATGCCGTCTTGACGTCGAGAGCTCCGACGCGCCGCCCGCTCGTCGCAGCCAGGGCGAGGGGCGCCCGCAACGATCCGATGTCGACACTCGCGGTGTAGAGCTCCTCCTCGCCCACGACCGGCTGAAAGTTTCCACGTACCACTGCTCGTGCACGCTTCCTCCGGAGACCGGCCTCGTCAGGAGGCTTCTTGGCGAACGCCGTCGACATCGGCAGTATGTCCTGGGCACGGAGGCCACCGCGCTCTCGAGCGCCGATGGGGCCAGAACACGTCCTTCTCCCGCAACGAGTCCAGCTCTTCCTGGAGCGCCTGTCTCCAGCCCTCGCGCTCCTCGCCGAAGCTGGCGTTCACCGACTTCTGGCTCATCACCTGCGCCCCGCCGTCCTTTGCGATCTCCTGGTACTCAAGGGGCATCTCGTCGTCGTCGTCGTCGTCGTCGAGCTTCGTCTCGGCAGCGCTCGCGAACGGAACGCGATCTCGAAGAACATCATGATGTACCAGAAGGCTGACAGGGAGGCCGTGGGACGAAGCCGCGCGAGCCGCTCCAGCACCTCCTGGGCCTCGTCGGCAACGGTGGTCGCGAGTGTGAGCCACATGACGCCCTCGGCAAGCTGGGCACGAGAATGCATCACCGTCGCCACGATCAAAAGCTCCTCCACCGCCAGCGTCTCGGAGGAGCGGTCCGAGGCGACAACGCTCGTCCCTCGTATGATTCCTATGCTGCCCTCTGCACGCTGGGCAGCTGATGTCCTTTGGCATCACCTCCCCGAGAACGTCCTCGCGATCGTCACGTTCATCTTCTGCTGCCGCCGGTCCCCCTCCAGACCTCGCTGCCTCCTCGCTCTCCTCTGCATCTCCTGGCCCCCCTCCTCGCGCCAGCTCCTCCGTGGGCACTTTCACAAATGAGCTGGAATATTCGATGATCCACCTGAGCTCTGGTCGCTTCTGCTTGACGTTCTTGCGACCAACAAGCCACGCGTTGGGCGATTGAAGGTCCACGCCCAAGAAAATACTCTCCACGGCCCTCTCGGACAGCGTCGACCGGGGCACGTCCCTGACGCGAGACGCCACCCGGTCGCCAAATGCAGGACACCTCACTTCGCGCCCCTGCGCCTCCATGCGGCTACACCATGCCGCATGCTGCACTGCCATCGGCCACACAGCCTGGCGGTCCTCCAGAAGGACAACAGCATTGCGCGAGCCCTCAGCTTCGCGAGGCCCACTCCCTTCTCGGCGCGGCCGTTTGCATCGGCCTCGAAGCCAGGCGTGGATGTTACCACCGCCTCTTTCTTGGCGAAGTGCTCCTTCACCAGCGCCCCTGTGAGTTCGCTCGCCCGGTCCCCGTGGATCCTGTACACCACGTCCGCGCCCTCGAACTTCGAGCGGATATGGGCGATGATGCGCTCGAGGGCCTTTATGCAAGTCGAGCCTGCTTGTTCTCCAGCGGGAGCACGTAGTACCACGTCTTCTTGGCCCCGCGCTACCCCTCCTCATGCTTCTCCTCTGCTTTACCTCCTCCCTCTGGGGCTGCGTCGCCAGCTGCCTCCTCCTCCTCGGCCGCTGGTCTCACAGCCGCCGCGTTCACTGGCAAGCAGAGCCCGTCCAAGGAATCCACCCCGAACGCGGCGGCAACTCGCGCAACTAAGTCACCACTGCTCTCGGCTCTCTGCCCCTCGTCCTGAAGAACACCTCCTGCAGCAGCACCTCTCTTAGCATCCTCCTCGCGCTTCCGCGACACCTCCATCTCCGTCTCGCTCATCACCGAGAACGCGCCCAGCACGAAGTGGACGGCCTGCTTCGGGACGTCCTCCGGCCGCCCTGAGGGCCACCTCCCTGGCAAGTGAGGGCCCGAGAGGTCAACGCTCAGCTGGCCACCAGGTCTGGTAGAGACATCGTGCCTGAAGTGCTGCCTCTGACGCCCTGCCGCTCCTCGGCACTCCCTGCACGAAGCGAGGAACTTCAAGTGCCCCTCCTCGCGGTGCCTCTGAAGCTCGGCCGCCCCATGGAGGTTGCGAGCCAAGGCGACGAGCCACGCTCGAAAATTGTGTCTCTGCTGCGCACGCCGCGCTGTCCCGAGCACGTCGGCGTCCTCCTCCGAGATATAGATCGAGCCGCCATCGCGATGAAGATGCAACTCCCGACCATCGCGCATGCGAACCTTGCACTCCGCGGTGTTCCACGCCATCTCGAGCTCCAGCTGCTCGATGTATGCTGCCAGCGGGAACAGCCCCTGGAGGCCCTCGCCCTTCACGTACACGATCTCCTTGTGCATCTTGGCGGGCTGCTCTCCGGTGGCCGTCTTCAGCCTCACGTCGTGAGCTCGGGGGTGAACGTCGGTCAGGTCCCGCACTCCTCGAAGTTCATGGGTGGCTCCAGTATCCGCCAGCAGCATCCGCTTGCCGCCGGCCGTCATCACCTTCGCGCGGACGCTCACTGTCCTCGCAGCGGGGCCGCCCGTGCGGGATGTTCTCGGAGAGGCCTCCGGGGACATCGGAACCGAGTCCCAGAAATCGCTGGCAACAGCAGCCCGCGAGGTCGATGGAGGCTGCAGCGCGTCCCCCATCTGCAGCAGGCTCAACAGCTCGGCACGAGCTTCAGCTCGGGCCGTCTGCGCCGCGACCTGCTCGACCGTGCCCGTCGGGGTCTTTGGAGTCGGGGAAGACGCCTGGGCATTCGAGGGAGGAGCCTGCGCTGCCTTCGCCGCCGCCTTTGGCCGAGTGCACTGCGACGACTTGTGAGCCGTCGCACCGCAGTTGAAGCACTTCCCATCGCTTGGGGCCAACTTGCGGTGGCCAAACGTGCACAGTGCCCCCTTCGAGCAGCCCTCGGCCGTCTCGAAGAACGTGCAGACCTTCTTGGGAGGGCTCCCGGAGGCGCTCTGGTCGGTCTTGGCCTTGCCGCCGTTGCCGCCCTTGTCGCCCTTGCCCTTCGGGTCGCCCTTACCTCCTTTGGGGTCCCCTTTACCTCCTTTCGGATCCCCCTTGGAGGCTCTAGCGAGTCGTGCTGCCTCCGCTCTGGCGGCCTTGGCAGCAGGGTCCAACTTCTCTTTATCAGGGCCAACGCCGGCGAACTCGCGAGCCTCGGCCGACAGGTAGCGCCACAACTCATCCACTTGAGCCTGGCTGATGAGACCTCCTGTCATGTTGCGGCTCACGATGAACGCAAAGTGCCGGTGCTTGACCTCCTGGTCCTTCTCGAGCATCCAGTTGACGATCTTCTTCAGCGAGGCCAGCTGTCGACTCGGGTCCGGCGGCGTCACGCCCATCCGAGCAAGACGAGTCGCTGCGAACTTCCATTTCTGCAACTCCTCGTACACCAGCCTCGTATCCACCTCCTTCGCCGTGTCCACGGCGTTCAGCGCGAAGTCCTTGTCAGTTCCTGTCCCCGGGCCTGCGTCCACGTAGGCGGCGAAGACGATGTCGGTGGTCGCCGTCTGCCTCGTGCTCAAGCACGCCTGCCTGGCGCCATCTGGCACCAACGCCATCAAGATCCCTCTTAACCTCAACTCGCAACTGTTGAAATTTATAGCGTCCAGCCTGGCATCAATCCACTGACGGGGCTGAGCAGGACGAATCGCAGGGCGATCCAACGGCCCATGCCGAAGATAGCTCATGTAGGCGTCCTGCACGACCTCCAGCACCTTCTCCCAGTACCGCTCGATGAGGTAGTGCATGCCGCCGAGGTCCATGGTGATGCGTTGAAGCCAGCTCTCGAAGATGCCCGGCTTCTCCTTGACACCTCCCTTCCACTCCAACTTCGGGAGCTCCGCGGCCTTCAACTTGGCCAGCGTGCTTTCCAGAGACGCGTCTCGCTGCGGGCCACCGCCATCAGCGGGTCCAGCAGCACTGCCGAAAGGTGGCGGCGGGGGAGGGGGTCCCGGAGATCCTCCTCCAGGGGCTCCTGGAAAGCCATCGGGGCGCTCAGGTCCTCCTGCGCCTGCGGGCGGCCCGAGGCCTCCTCCGCCTGGTCCTCCTGGTCCTCCACAGCCGCCTGGATGTCCTCCGCGGCCTCCTGGATATCCTCCGAAACCTCCTGGATGCCCTCCGCAGCCTCCAGGATGTCCGAAAACTCCTCCTCCTAGACCTCCTGGATGTCCTCCGCAGCCTCTGGGTGGTCCAAAAACTTCTCCTCCTTGGCCTCCCAGTCCTCCGAGCCCTCCAACGCCCGCAGCTCCAAGAAGATCGCCCTGAACACCTTGAGCTCCGAGATGAGGAGGAAAAGGTCCTCCGCCTCCCTCCTGCCTCCTGGCGGGCGCCGTGCCCATGCTTCCCAGGCCTGGGGGGTTGTCCTGGCAGCCTCCTGTCTGTTCAGCTGCCGTCACCGCGGGCTCAACCGCCGCAGCACCGCCATCGTCCTGGCGACTCTCCTGCCTCACCTGCTGGTCCACCGTGGCCCCCACGATGTTGAGCAGCCTATCTATCTCCTCCTCCTCCTGACCTGACGCTGCCACTGCCGAGGTCTGGTCCTCAGTCCTCTGGCTAGGCGTTGCAAATCCTGGTCCCTCCTGGCCCGCACCTTCCGCACCGTCCGCGGTACCATCGCGAAGGCGCTGGTTCTCGGCCTTGAGGTCATTCAGCTCCTGCCGCATCCGGCGGAACTCCGTCATGAGCTCCGCAGTCGCTGTTGCTGCTCTTGCTGCTCCTGCGCTCGCGCTCCCTGCCTCCGAGGCGTCGTAGTACTCCTCGAGGGCCCTGGGGCGGAGCACAGCTGGCGCCTCGTGGGGCTCGGCGGCAGTCGCCGGCACGAGTTCCACCGCGCGCGCTCCTGTCCAAGCACTCCTGGCTCCAGCTGCGCAGCCGCTCGCCAGCCGAGCAGCGCCGGAGATCGTGCCCGAAGCGACCGAACCGATCGCCTGGCCCGCCAATTGCCCACTGGAGGACATCAGCCGGCCGAACCCGATCCCATGCTGTTGGAATCGGCGGGCGGCCTGGTGGTGAGCGAACGCGAAGTCCATCTCGTTCGCGCACTCCGTGCAGACGGCGTGCCCAGCACGTGCAACAGTGCAGTGCCCGTGCACTTGCTGCCCGCAGGCCGGGCAAGGCACAGTTGGCCCTGTGACCACGTCCCCGCAGCACTTGCACGTGCGAATCAACCATGTGGATGCCGTACTCGATGAGGTAGCATGATAAACCCCAAGTCGTTGGCTTGGGCTCATAACCCTTGTGGGCGCCTCGTGGTCGCCCACTGGGTAGTGCGCAGGGTATTGTCCACCCCAAGGGTTCATTTCTTCTGTTTATTGCTTCGGGTCCGGCTGGTCGGGCCCACTGTGGTCTCGACAAGTTCCACCAACTCCGATACCTCGGTCCCCTCGCTCAGGAGCTTGAGAATATAAAGTGCTAATGCTGGCGGGATGGGGAATGAGTGTCGAGTATTGGGATTGTGAGGGTAGCGGAGGTGCAAACGTAAGAGGGTGCCCACTGACGTGGCTAGGCGGAGGAGGAGCCTGCGTTGCCGCTGAGGCTCCGCCCTCCGCTTCACCACGCCTGGGGCGGAAGAGTCTTTTTCCTCCAGACTCCGCATCTTGAGCAAAAGTGCAGCGTTACGGCGAAAATCGGCCTGAAGCTGCTGACCTAGAGTACAAAATACATTGCAACCCATCCCTGGAGGCGGCGTTGCCGCTAAGCCCCCAGAGATCTTGAGACACATGTTCAGACATAGGGGCAGCACCACGGGAACTTGTAACTACGCGTGCTAACATAGGGGCAGCACCACGGTTCTACTGTTGGTTCCCGCGTGGTCCGTTTCATGCCGTGCTATGAACACGAAACAACGAACATGTCACGAATTTCGCTTGCATTAAACATGCGTTATCCCACTTTGTGGGATAAAGGTCCTTGTGAAAGCTAAGTGAGTCAAGACATCGGCTTGGCTCCTTGAGCGCAGCCCCTGTTTCTGGATGAGCTGATACCGTAAGGACCAGACCCTTCGACAAAGAAAACAAGGATGCAATGCCCGGGGAGGCCTCAGGGGAGGCCACCCCCAAAATATGTATATATTACATACCATGCCAAGCGGCTAGCTGAATGCTGCTGCTCCCGACGCGTGTGGCGGGTATGTCCGGAGCTCCCCCGATTCACGGGGGGAGGGACGGGGGGGGGCATAACGTAACGGCCCCCCCCCAAAACTATAGTGCCAAACGCACTGTGGCAGTGCCGGGGACGCGCTGAGGGGGGGCAAGTTATGTTATGGGGGGGGAGGGTATGGGGGCATCACGCGCGTTATGGCCCAGAGGGTGAAAAACACCCTCCATGCACGAGTCGGGACGGTGATCCTCCAACGCCGCCCCTGGCGTGCTCCGCGCGCCGACCGGGGGAGGGTGGGGAGGGTGGCCCAGCGCCGGCCCTGGAAACCTGCGCGGACCTCCGAGAGTTTATAGTGTTCGCGCAGTCGTTCAGGATGGCGCCAACAACGTACACACACGCCGATCCTGGCATGGCCAGGATTGGCGCGTGTGTGTCTGCGTGTGTCTGTGTGTGTGTGTCTGTGTGTGTGTGTGCAAGTGCGTGTGTGTGTGTGTGTGTGTTCGTGTGTGTTCGTGTGTGTTCGTGTGTGTTCGTGTGTGTTTGTGTGTGTGTGTGTCTGTGTGTGTAGCTGGTGCCCTCCGAGTCTTCTGTTCTTCAGCCCAGCGGCCCCCCTTGAGGTCTCGACCCCTTTCGCAGAGGTCGGTTCTCCTCCACCCAGGAGCGAAAAACACGCCCACAGAAGCCAAGATCCATTGAATGAAGGCGAAGATGATTACGATGTCAGGAATATGGGGTCGGGGTCTAGAGGCGTACACATGACATGAACAGAGACTTTCGGAACCCCGCGCAGATTTCTCATGATTTCTCGGATCGGCACTGGACCCCTCTCGCTGGCGCGCGGAGCGCGCAAGGGGCGGTTCCAGAGGTACCGCCAGGGGGGCCCGAGCGCCGATTCGAGAAATCCGCGCGGAGCTCCGAAAGTTTATGTTTATGCATTTTTTTCTTCGTCGAGTCCCGGGCGTCGGCGTCGGCGTCGGCGTCGGCGTCGGCGTCGTCTTCCAGGGACGCCTCCTCCATGAAGCGGCAGTCGGAGTGGTCCACGTCCACCTTCAGCAGGTCTGGGGACGATGAGCCCGCGGGCATCGAGGCGACGTGCTCGCGGAGCAGCAGCGTCACGTTTTCCAGCGGCAGGAACCGCAGCACCTCGGGGCGGGGGAGGGCGGGGGGGAGGGGTGGCGGAGGAGGAGGAGGAGGAAAAGGAGAAGGAGGAGAAGGAAGGGAGGGAGGGAGGGAGGGAGGAAGGAAAGGAGGGAGGGAGAGACAAGGAGGAGGATGAGGAGGAGGAGGGAGGGAGGAGGAGGAGGAGGAGGAGGAGGAGAAGGAGGAGGACGAAGCGGAGGAGGAGGAGGAGGAGGAGGATGAGGAGGAGGAGGAGGAGGGGGAAGGACAACGATGACAATAAGGGGTGATGATGACATTGCTGCTGCTGGTGATGACGACGATGGCGACGACGATGACGACGATGACGATGATGATGATGCTGATGTTGATTATGATTATGGTGGATATGATGGTAATGATGATGGTTCTGATGCATATGGTGATGACGCGGATAATGATGGTGATGCTGATGGTGATGATGATGACGATGCCGATGTTGTTGTTGATGATGAGGATGGCGATGATGATGTTGCAGAGGATGATGACGATGATGACAATTCTAATAATACTTATAATGGTGACGAGGAGCAGGATGATGACGATGACGACCATGGTAATGATAATGTGGATGATGATGTTACTGATGATGGTGATGCTGTTGCTGCTGATGTTAAGTGTGATGATGATGGTAATGGTGATGCTGACGACGACAGCAATGACGATGATGATGGCGAGGAGGAGTATAAAACAAAACAGAAAAAGAAGGAGAAGGAGAAGGAACAATCGCGCGAAATTCTCCGAGCCGAAGTGGCCTCGGGGACCCAGGGCCTCAAGCGAGCGACGACGAACAAGGAATCTCGCGCGCGTGGACGCAGCGACCTCGCGCGGTGGCTATGCAGGCCGTCAGAGCGGCAAGCTGCGCGGACGAGAAGGGGGGGCCCACGCGCGACCTCAAACGGGCGGCTTCCTCGCGAAATCCCGGCGGAGTTGACCTGTCTTTTGGATCGGGCCTCATGCGACAAGAGGCTGCGCGCTTCGCCCCCGAATGGCCCAATCTATCACATTTGTTTAGCTGACCCCCGAGCCTCCCCTTACTAAACACACATGGGCGCCATAGCTGCTGATGGCCCCTCCCTTGTGGCGGCGGCTGTGCTGGCGGCGATCCAGGAGCACGTGCGGGGGCGCACTGTTGCTGCTGCGGCTACTGCGGTAGCGGGCGCTATGATGTGTGCGGCTCTGCGGCCCTCTGCGCCAGCGACCCTGTCCCTGCACAAGGAGCGAGCTCAGAATGCAAAGGGCAAAGCTGCAGACTCCGATGATCCTGATCAAGTGTCGGAGAAACTTCGAACTGCGCGCCGAACCCAACGTTTACGTAAGAAAAGCGCCGGACGGCCAAGCAGGCCATGATGGCCATAGATGGTCCAGCCTCTCCTCTTCTTCCAGATGGTCTTCAGCCCCACGTTGAGGCAATTCCACATCTAGCAGGTGCAGCCGGCCAAAGCGCAGACCTCGGGGGAAGTCTTGCTGCCGAGCCCGCTCTGGCACCCCCTCTACGTCTGGACTGCTCTCATTCACCCCGGCACCCCGACGTACCCCCTCTGATCAGCACGCCGCCTGTTCAGCTCCGCCTTCCTTGGTGGGCACACTGCGACGAGCTGAAACAGCAGATGAGGCGAGTTCTTGCCGCACTCTGGGGAGATCTCTTGCAGCGTCACCTGTCCCAGCCCCAGATCACTCACAATCCCGGGCGGATCCGAAGGGCGCCTCGGCAAGGAAACCGTCCTTTGACCGTGGTGAAGACGCCGGAGGTTCAAAAACAAGCCAGCCTGACCCTTAGACGGGCTAGAGAAGGAGGAAGGCCCAGAGCTTACACGCGTCGATCTCCTAAAGACCTGCAGGGAACCCTCCAGCCAGAATGACGGCCAGCTCCGCCTCCCCGTCTCCCTCCTCCCCTCCTCCTGCCGTCCTTCTCCCGTCCTCCTCCTCCTCCTCCTCCTCCTCCTCCTCTTCCTGTTCCTCCTCCTCCTCTTCCTCTTCCCTCCTCGTCTCCCTCCTCTAGACAAGGCCCTGCCGAGAGCACCAGGGCGGGGGCGATACCACCACCTCTCCTCCCGTGTGGAATAAAGGGGTGCGGTGCAAATCGTGAAAAATGGCGATCTTATCTACGATTGGTAACATCGCCAGAGTCAACATTGGCATTGGCGCTACGCCCCTTTACACTACACCCCTTTCCTACCTCCACTCCTCTGCCGGGCATGAGGGGGTCTTGGCTGCCCCCCCGGCACCAGCGACACGTCCTTGTCCGCGCCCCGCCGCCGCCGCCCCCCCCACGCCTCCCAGGATTCGGCTACGGCAGGTTCGTGTCGTGACGACCCTGGGCGTTGGCTTGTGACACCGCGTGGATCGTGCAATCTTGAACGACCGGCGGATTTCCGATCGCCGGATCCTCCCATCTTGGCCGATCCTGGGCAGCTGGCGGCACTCAGCCTTAAACCCCCGCGGCGGGGTCGCTGCCGTGTCGGCACGGCACGAACCTGCCGTACGCGCGAGCGACTGGAGGCAAAGAGTGACCTCTGCCGCGCAGTTGGCCGACTGTTGCGTGCCGTGCGACGGCAGCGGCCCGCGCGCCTGGGCTTGGACCCCCTCCTGGCCCGCCCAGTGCCGCGCGCTGGGGGCCACTCCAGCGAAAGGTCACTCGGGCGTGCATCGAGGGCGTCCAAGAGGGGGGTGCACAAGTCATGGCCCGAGGCATGTGCGCGGCTCAGGGGGGGAGGTCAGGGGACGCATTGAGATAAGAAGAGGCGCCACGATATCTGGGGTGACCTCCTGGCCCCCGCCATCATATCCTCCCTCCTAATCATTACCGCCCTCCTGGCCACCCGCGAATGCAGCTGACCATGGCTCCTGCGACGAGGGGCCCCTGGGGCGAGGGTGGGGGGAGAGGAGGGCCCCGAGCACGATCGCGGTCGGAGGGCCCTCCTGCCGGGCGAGGGGGGGGGCAAGGGGAAAGTAGCAAGCTAGGCGCGCTCGTTCATCCATGCTCCTGCTCCTGCTCCTGCTCCGCCTCCGCCTCCGCCTCCGTCTCCTCCTTCTCCTCCTCCTCCTCCTCCTCCTCCTCCTCTCTTTTCCCGAGAAAAAGCTCCTCCCTGCCGCACCCTGAGACGCGTCGGTAGGGTGGGCCGGGCGTTTCGCCGGAGACTTCCTCACCATTTATGATCCTGGAGCTTGAGAGCTTGCAAGAGCTTCACGGATAGAGGGCGGGCGGTTCCGAACATGTGGCTCTCGCGTGGGCACCGCGCATATTCGTCATACACGTTTGCAGAGTTTTCACTCACGGATGGAGGGCAGGCGGTTTTCTTCAAAACGTGGTTCTTGCCTCAGCGCCACGCACATTCTTATAACACATGATTAAGCGCTTGCAGGAGTTTCACGGACGGAGGGCTGCCAGGTCTCTAAATGTGGCTCTCGCCTGAGCGCCGTGCGCGGCCTGTCCTTTTCAAACTGTGGCTCTCGCCTTAGCGCCGCATGCATTCGTCTTAAAAGTTTGCAGGAGCTTCACGGATGGAAGGCGGTTCATTTTCAAACTATGGCTCTCGCCTTGGCGCCGCGCACTAACAGTCTACAGCACATGCAAAGACTATTATTGCTGACGTCCCGAAGATGGTGTTTTGGCACGAGTTGAACTTGTCAAGGCGCAACATTCATACTGTTTCGCGGTGCTGACGTCGCAGAAACGGTAATCCGGCACGACTTAAAATCGTCAGGTCACAACGGGAACGTTGATTCGCGGCGTTGAAGTCCTAGGAATCGTGCATTGGCACTGCTGAAGATGTTCAGACGGTTGTCTTCCAATGGGGCTCTTCCCGCAGTGAAGATCGATTATTATAGGAGCCTGTTACGAGGGACCTTGGAGGGAAGATTCTTTGCAACATCGTTAATGGATGTTGGGTTTACACTCCTTTCATCCTCCCCCTCCTCCGCATCATCATCGTCATCATCATCATCAGCAGCTTCATCATCAACAGCTTCGTCATCGTCATTGTCATCGCCATCGTCATCGTCATCATTATCACTCTCATCACCAGCATCATCCTCTTCATCATTTTCCTCATCCACATCATCAGCATGATCATCATCACCATCATCATCAGCATCATCACCATCATCCCAATCCTCATCCACTCATCAATTACTCCATACGAGCATTTCTCTCTCCTTGTGTGCTCCCACCTCTTTGGCTAGTTTACAGCACGCATGATTCCATACATTGATCAATCCTGCGGCGTTTCGATCGGAACGTCCTCGGTCGTTCCAAAGTGGTGTTCCCGCTGGAGCGGCGGTCATATTTCAAGATCGGTGCTTTGCTCCCTTCACCGATAGCGGCGCTCTCGCCCCTTCGCAGGCCACGCTACTAGATCCGACTCCTTCCTCGGCGTTGCCGCCTCACCCCCTTCCCCTCCTCCGCCTTCTCATGCTTCTCTTGCTCATCCGACTCAGTCTGCTCCTGCTGTTGAGCCTCCTCCTGCCTCCTCATCTTCCTATTCCATCTGCTCCACCGCCTCCTCCTCCTCCCCATCCTCCTTCTCCAGTGTACAAGGCCTTCTCATTGCGCGCCACACGATGGGGCCATCTGGGATTTGTGTGGGGGGGGGGGCAAAGCACTCACGCCACGAATACACAAGGAAACGGCGCAGTGGGACGGAATGCATGGAAGGGATAAGATGTCAGATATGGCGCGAGCGCAGCTGTGCCCCATGCTCCTCCCTACTCTCCTCATTGTTCTCCTCTCCCTCCCTCCCCCTCGCCCTGGAAGGAGGGAGGGAGAACGATGACAAGGAGGAGACGGAGGGGATGCGGGACTCTGTACGCGGAAGGACAACCAGCGGTGGAGGGTAAGGATGGGGAGGGGGAGGAGAAGGAGAGGTATGAACCCCCTCCCCCAACGCCCACTACGATTGACAAAGTAAATCGCAGAAGCGGGACGAGGGGAGGAAGGGATACTTACGCCAGGAGCATGGGGGGCGGACGGAGGAGGAGGAGAATTAGGAGGAGGAGGAGGAGGACGAGGAGGAGGAGGAGGAGGAGAGGGATCTGACACCCACCGCCACAGACACCCTGAAAGAGGCCGGTTGAGTCAAGCTATGCGTTAATCCCTGGCCTCTTCGGATAGAGTCTCGTGCAATCGACCAAACTTCACGTCTCGTGGGGCTTGGCAGGAAAAGGCATCGAGGGAGGAGGAGGAGGAGGTGTTGCACAAGGAGGAGGATCTGCGCGATGCACTAGAGAAGGAAGGAGTGGGGCGGAGGAGCGGATCGAGTAGGAGCAGCAACAGAAGCAGCACGAGAAGGAACAGGAGGAGGAGGAGGACCAGTGCAAACCCAAGACTCACCCACGATGTTACAATCAACCCTCCCTCCAAGCCCCCTCTTCACAGGCCCCATACGAAGACTTACTTTTAACTGAAGGAAATGCCCCGTTGGAGGACTAACGTCGAAAAATCCCGATGCCAAAACACCGTTCCTGGGACTTCAACGCCGCGAATCAACATTACGGTTGCGCCCTGAAGATCCTGAAACGTTCCAAAACACCGCACCTGGGACTTCAACACCGCGAACCAACGTGTCTGTCACGCCCTGGCAGTCCTACATTGTGTCACAAAGAATCATGTCTGCGACGCCAGCGATAACAATACTTGAAACCGTTGGGAACTCCCAACACGAATGCGCGCGGCGCGAGAGAGAGACCCATATTTTGAAAATGAACCACCCTCCAACCGTGAAGCTCTGACAAACTTTAGGACGAATGTGCGCGGCGCTGAATCGAGAACCACATTTTGAAAAGGAACATACATCCGTGAAACCCTTGCAAACGTTCACTGCGAATGTGCGCGGCGGTACGGCAGTAACCAAATTTTGAAAACCACCCGCCCTCCATCCGTGAAGCTCTGGCGAACTTCTAGAACGAATGCACGCGGCGCTACGGCGAGAATAGCATTCTGAATACGACCCGCCCCAGATCTGTGAAACTCTTGCGACATTCAAGACGAATGCGCGCGGCGCTACAGCGAGAACCACATTTTGAAAACAGCCAGCTTTCCATCCGTGAAGATCTTGCCGATATCAAACTTAATAATCATACATGGTCAGGATGACGTAAACGAGACGCCCGGCCCGCCCTACCGACACGTGTCGGGAAGCGACAGGGAGAGTGTATGTATAAGTAAACAGAATGGAGGAGGAGGAGGAGCTCACTTGCTCGCCAGGCAGTAGGTCGCGGGCGGTCCTTGCGCCCCCCGAACTTCTTCCTGAGCGGCCCGTGCCACCGCGGGTCCCCCTCTACCACGACGGCCGAGTATCCCTCGCGGCGACGGCAACAATGGACACCGATGGACAACGATGGACAACGACGACAACGACGACCGATGACGACGGAGACAACGACGACGACAAAGACGACGACGACGAGTTAGACGACGGTGACAAACGAAAAACGACAAACGACGACGACGACGAGGACGGACGGACGGACCGACGGACGGACGGACGGACAGACGGACGGCCCGACAACGACGACGACGACGAAGACGGACAACGACGACGACGACGACAACGAAGGCGAACACGACGACAGAAGACGCCGTCGACGACGAAAGACGATGCACGGCAGACGATGAACGACGACGGACGACGACGACGATGACAACCCAGAGCTAATCACTACCTTCTGAAATTCATTGATTCTCTGGAACCTCCTCCCTCCCCTCCTTCCCTCCTCCTCCTTCCCAACCCTGCTTCTCTCCTCCCGTCCTCGAACCCCCCTCCCCTCCCGAAAACCAAAAACACTCCGAACACTTTACAACACCTCTCTTCTTCTTCCTCCTCCTTCTCCTCCTCCTCCTCCTCCTCCTCCTCCCCTCAAGCATAGACACGACACGTCATGCGCACAACAGCCGGAACCAACACAAGGTAATAGGAACATAGTGGCGCCACATTTTCTGCCGTGCCCAGTGCTACTGCTGGCTCACAACCATCCAACGTCGCACGCCTGGTGCCAACTCCAAGCTCTCCGTCTTTTGCCCCCCCCCATTCCCCTCGCTCGCCCTCTCTGCTCCTGTGCCGAGCCTGCTGTCGCACCCTTGTTTCCCGTTCTTCTCTCGCACAGCTGCGTTCTAGAGCTCGGAGCTTTATTGTCGTGGTCGTTTTTTCGTTCGCTCGTCGCTCCCCACACCACCCCAGGCCCCCTGTGACCGTGCCTCATCGTGATGGTCATACATGATGGCCTCAGGAGAACACCAGGATGGCCCCCAAGAGCCCCCCTCCTTCCTCACCCTGCCTCGTCTGGCCGTCGCCCTCCCGTCTGGAAGAGCCGGGGCATGCGTGCCACGTGTTCCTCTGGCTGCCGACAGAGCCCTCCGAGGTGCCCCGCGCTGCGCACGAAGTGAACATAGTGAGACGTGGGTGAGTAGGGATCCCCAGGACAACGCGACGACGTTTAGCATGAAGAGAACGGGCCCTGGAGGAAACGGTCCTGGAGTACTTTTCTGCGCTCTCGGGACTCTGGTGCCCTCCACGGTCCCCAGGACCGTCAGAAAACGATTGGGATAAAAGGCTGGCCCTGGGGAGCGCCCCGCGATATATGGCCCGGTTCCCTCAGAGCCCGTGTCCTTCATGGCGCGTTCGCCGGCCTCCGCAGACGCATCCGCCGACGTCTTCCCTCCGCTGGCCCTCCCGCTCGCCGCCGACAAGCGAGATGCGCCGAAGGCGAAGCCCTGATGAAGGACACGGGCTCCGAGGGAAGCGGGCCATATATGATCCCGGGCTCCGGGCCCACGGGCCCCCCCCCCCCCCCAGATTGTATGGTTCCAGTCCTCGGCTCCCCCCCCCCAGATGGTATGGTCCCAGAGACGACGACGACGACGACGACGACGACGACGACGACGACGACGACGACGACGAGACGACGACGGCGACGGCTACGACGACGGCGACGACGACGATGACGACGACCACGACGACGATGACGACGATGACGACGGCGACGACGACGATGACGACGACGACGACGACGAGGACGACGAGGACGACGAGGACGACGAGGACGACGACGACGACGACGACGACGACGACCTCTGAACCACCACAGCACCACACCACATCCACAGGGGGGGGGAGGGGCGCACGGCAGCGCAGCACCACGCCACGCCCACCTCTGAACCACCACAGCACCACACCACATCCACATGGGGGGGGGAGGGGGGCACCGCAGCGCAGCACCACACCACGCCCACCGGGGGGGGCGGGAGGGACCATCGCGCGGGGGGGGGGGCCCAATGGCATCAGCATTGGGGGGCGGGGGCCCAAGCCCTGGACCATATATCGCGGGGCGCTCCCCAGGGCCAGCCTTTTATCCCAATCGTTTTCTGACGGTCCTGGGGACCGTGGAGGGCACCAGGGTCCCGAGAGCGCAGAAAAGTACTCCAGGACCGTTTCCTCCAGGGCCCGTTCTCTTCATGCTAAACGTCGTCGCGTTGTCCTGGGGATCCCTACTCACCCACGTCTCACTATGTTCACTTCGCGCGCAGCGCGGGGCACCTCGGAGGGCTCTGTCGGTAGCCAGAGGAACACGTGGCACGCATGCCCCGGCTCTTCCAGACGGGAGGGCGACGGCCAGACGAGGCTGGGTGAGGAGGAGGGCGACGGCCAGACGAGGCAGGGTGAGGAGGAGGGGGGCTCTTGGGGGCCATCCTGGTGTTCTCCTGAGGCCATCATGTATGACCATCACGATGAAGCACGGTCACGGGGGGCCTGGGGTGGGGTGGGGAGCGACGAGCGAACGAAAAAACGGCCACGACAATAAAGTTCCGAGCTCTAGAACGCAACTGTGCGAGAGAAGAACGGGAAACAAGGGTGCGACAGCAGGCTCGGCACAGGAGCAGAGAGGGCGAGCGAGGGGAATGGGGGGGGGCAAAAGACGCAGAGCTTGGAGTGGGCACCAGGCGTGCGATGTTGGATGGTTGTGAGCCAGCAGTAGCACTGGGCACGGCAGAAAATGTGGCGCCACTATGTTCCTATTACCCTGTTTTGGTTCCGGCTGTGGTGCGCATGACGCGTCGTGTCTATGCTTGAGGGGAAGAGGGGGGGGAGGAGGAGGAGGAGGAGGAGGAGGAGGAGGAGGAGGAGGAGGAGGAAGAGGAGGAGGACCAGTGTAAAGCCAAGAGTCATCAACGATGTTGGAATAAACCCTCCCCCCAAGAGGCCAAAATCGTTGATTTTCATTGGTTTTTTCGATGTTTTTTGTGTTCTGGCTTTTTCGGCTTCCGGACGCTCCAAGACGGCCCAAGAGGCCCCCAAGACCGCTCCAAGACGGCCCACGAAGCTCCCAAGACGGCGCCGAAACGACCCAAGAGAGCCCTCAAGACGGCCCAAGTGCCGCCCAAGACGGACCAAGAGGCCCCAAGACGGGCCCAAGAGGGACTCAGGAGGGATACCGAGAACTCAAAAATGGAGCCCTCCGTCCCAGAAGGCGCCCAGGAGGTCCCAAAGAGGCCCCAAGAGGCCTCCAAGAGGCCCCAAGATGTCGCCAAGAGGCCCCAGGAGACTCCCAGGAGGCCCAAAAGAAGCCCCAGAAGGCTTCAAACATGTCTCCCAGGCGCCCCCGAACGGCCTCTCAACAGACCCCAAGAGGCCCCCCAAAGAAGCATCTTGACGACGACTCTATTTCGCCCCATCGAGAGACGACCCCCAGGGAACTGCTTCACCATCAAAACTCCCCACGCAACGCGTCCGAACGACACCCGCCCCCAAGAGCGCAACATGGGCAACGAACACACAGACAAAAACCAGCGATGCCATATCACGGGCCGGCGGAATGAGCGAAGCGATTCAATAAACCCTCCCTCCAAACTCCATCTTCATAGGGCCCTGCAACGGTTCATTTCCGTTGAGGTAACTGCCTCGTTGGACGACATCCGTTTGAAGACCCTGAAACATGCCAAAACATTGTTCTCGGGATTCCAACGCCACGGATCAACTTGGCGGTTGCGTTTGGACGATCCTGAATCATGCCAGAACGCCATTCCTGGGACTTCAGCACCGCGAACCAACGTAACTGCTGCACCCGCATAATTCTGAACCCTTCCTAGAAATCATTTCTGGTACGCTGATCATGGAAGCCCGTGAAACTCTTGCAAGTATCACCAACGCGTGTGCGCGGCGCTAAAGCGAGAATCACATGTTAAAAAAAACGCCCACAATCCGTGAAACGATTGCAGATGTTGAAAACGAATGTGCGCAGCGCTAAGACGAGAGCCACATGTTGAAAACGACTCGCCCCCAATCCGTGAAGCTCTTACAAATGTTTAAAACGAAGGTGCGCGGCGCTGAAGCGAAAACCACATGTTGAAAATGACCCGCCCTCCATATGTAAAGCTCTTGCCAGTATTTAAACTTCAGCGTCATACATGGTGAGGAAGTATCAGGCGAAACGCCCGGCCCGCACTAAAACCTGGCCTGGAGGTGCGACAGGGGAAATTATGTTTATAAGGAAAAGGAATGGAGGAGGAGGAAGAGGAGGAGGAGAAGAAGAAAGAGGAAGAGGAGGAAGAGGAGAAGGAGGAGGAGGAATACGAAAAGGCAGAGGAGGAGGAGGAGGAGGAGGAGAAGGAGGAGGAGGATGAGGAAGAGGAGGAGGATTAGAGGACGATTAACAACCGGACCACAAATCTCACCGATATGCACCTGGCGATGGGACAGAGAGCTACCCCTGTCGGCGCTCTGTGCGCCTTCTCTGTCTGGGGGCGCTGGGGGTGCCGTCGGGCCACGCAGCCTTGCCCTTCGATGAAGGGACCGCCCAACGCTGAATTTGATCCAAGGCTTCTTTTCCTGCTGGGGTTGGGTGCCCTTTGCATTGAACCGCGATCCCCGCCCCCAGCCTACCGCCCGAGGGGGTCTTGGAACCGAGGCACCCACACCTCCAACAGAAAATCTGGCCACACAGGATTGCAGCATTGTGAGACTCGTGGACCTCCCTGTCCCCGATTCTAAACCGAGGGGGGAGGCGGGCGGGCCTACCTTGCGACTCTACTCGATGGTACTGGGGTCCAGGGCAGCTGCCATTGCGGAGCCAGTCCAAAACCGAAAACTGTCCTGGGCCACTCTGGCAGTGGCTACACACCCAGGAGGGGCCGACCTTGGAAAGCTAGTGCCCCGAAGATCTCTCGAGCTCCTTCCTTGCGCGCCACGCTGCGGGCGCCAGGTTAAACGTGCGCGGGCGGCTTTTGCGCTCATACTCAACACGAGCAGCAGCGGCATTAACAATAGCTAGCCTCCTCTGGACTAGCCGCGCTTTGAATTCCGCAC